ACGTGGGGTCAGCAGAAAGGAATGTTGAACTCTGGCCTGTGGGTGTGACTTCTGCCAGGCTCCTCAGGAAGAAATTTAGAAGAAAGAACAGTGGTCAGAGTTCAGTCCCCAGTTGCCCCTTCCCCAAGGTCTGTGTGCCAGTGGATGGTGTTTTCCATTTGGTGGGCGGTGTGTGGGCAGGGGCAGGTTTCTGCAAAACAACTCCGGGACATATATTAAGATGTTATTTTTAGTTTCTATTGGGACTGTAACTTCTTTGGCTATTGTTTCAAGCTATTACTTCCTTGCTTATAAGATTACCTGCCACTCTCCACCAAGCATGGAAATAAAGGAACATCTTGAATTTCTTCAATGGAAATTCCAGGCACCTGGCTAGTCCTGAGCATTAAATGAGCAACTTGATAAGTAAGAAGGTAATAGTAGCTTAAAATAATAGCTAAGGAAGTTATAGTCATAAGATGTTTGGTTGTCTACAGAAACTAAAGATAACATCTTGACATATGACCTTGAGTTTACTTTTCAGAAACTTGGACCTCCACCAAATGGAAATCTTTCTTGCATGAGGTCCAGGAACCCTCTCTTGGGATCTGGATTGGGATCCCTTTCCGGTAACAATATCAGGACATCAGGACATTTCCTGGGTCTGTTCAGTAAATGTTGTTAACCTGTTCTCTTAACTGAAACTGTCTAAGAATGACTAACCTCCTGGCAATGTAAGATGGAGTTGCTCTGGTTCAAATGCCTTGGATGCCTCTGACAGTATTAGTGAAGTTTATTTTTATTTTTTTTCGGACTGTTAGCTTATTAGGAACTAACAAGACCCTCCCTAACTCATCTACTCATCTTTCAGGACTCAGCTTCACTTGTTCTGAGGGTTTCCCTTGACACCTCCACACCCACACCGAAGTATGACCTCCCGTCTCCTATAGTTCCAAAGCCTGTTTTGACAAGGGGCACCTAAATTAGGGTTACTATCACATTGTGTTACAATTTGTTCACAACTATTTTCTCTTCCACTGGAAGGATTCTTGTTAGGGCAGATATCAACCTAAAAGAAAGAAGCCCAGGCAAAATAGATGTAACTAGAGGGTTTATTTGGGCGAAGCTTGAGGATTGCAACCTGGGAGCATAGATTCAGGTTTTCCGCAGTTACAAGCTGTAGCAGCAGTTACAAGCAGGTTTTTAAAGAAAAGAAGAGGCAGTTTCTAAGTTGTTTGCCAAGAATTTACATTAAAATAACATAAGTTATTGATTGGCTCTATGTCATTTCCTTGTATTATAAATTCCAGGAACATGAAGATAATGGGTGAGGCAGCTAGGCAGGAACAAAATGCCTTTAAACAATTGCCCCCACAGATGGGTTTGGGGGCACATGAGTGAAGTCTTAGACTCCGGTCTCTTTTGGCCTGATAAATTTTGTGAACCTCCCATAGTGCAGACAGCTCTGAGCTATTTTTCTTTTCTCATGGAGACCAGGTCTTGGTTACCTTGGAGTCCCCAGTGCCTTGGAGAGGAGTTGATACAGAATTGGGGCTTGGAAAATGGTGAAGAATGTGTGAAATGTCCCAGAGACATGTCCTGATTAAGAGCCTGAACTCCTTTGATCTTGGACCCTACACTTCCTGAGTGTCATATAAGAGGTGGGAAATTTTCACACCCAGTGACCTGGAGGACAGGCTAAAAGGGTAAAGAGATGAAGAGCAGCGCTTCTTTAAAGCCACGTGGCTTTGTTTCTTCTCATTGGGATGACAGTTTGCTAAGGAGAAAATGGGGCTGGAGTGTTAAAAGACCCTAAGTGTCTGGCTGCTCCTTGGGTCTTGGAGATTCTGAGATAACAAGAACCATGGAACTCTGAAATTGATCCAGATCGGGTTCATTGTTCTACTCCTCCTTTCTTGTAAATGCCCTGATTGTTGGAAGGACTTCTTATGATGTCAATCTATAAAAAAGCAGAGGCCAAAAGTCTTTACTGGATACCTATTATGTGCAAAGAAGATACTATACTCCCCTGATAGCAAGGGATACATTATTTTACGGAATGTGTCTCTTGCTGATGCCAACAGCCTATTCCAGGATCCAGTTTTGACTGTGGAGTATTCATCACTTAGAAATGAATTGTTAGAATGACTTTTACAACTAGAGCTGCCAATTGTCCGGCTTGATGTTAGGCCGTCTCAGTCATCTAGTTCTGGAATACATGGTTCAGATAGTGTTTGAAAGGGCAAGTTAAATGTAAATCACCTAATTTTGGTGAGTGGGCTTGCATAACAACAAGCCCGCTAGGATTTATTGTTCTTGCTTGTGTCTGAGTGTCTGCACTGTAAGGGATATTCGGGAGAACCCTTGAGGAAAGTCCAGATCCCTGTTAGGAGCTGGTTCCCAGAGGTGGCTTTTAGCACCCATAAATTTGGGTATTTTTTTTTTTCTTTTAAAAATCTTACCAGCTTAATTGTAATGTAGTGGTGGATTTATATGACTCTTAAGTTTAATTACTGAAATTTTATTAGTAGAGTAGAAAAATCCTCTGCTCCTAAATGTGGGTCTCTTATTTGTGGCTTAACTTCTAACTTTTTGTTTGCATTCTCTTATTCTCTTTTTGTTCTTTTCATGAGTTAGTTGAGTAATAACTAAAACTGAACTGTGAGTCTTTTCATAGAGGTTGGAAAATCCCACATAGGAAATGGCACCACCAGCAATGGTCAGTCGTTTATGTTGGCCAATGTAAAGAAACCTCCTTTGTTTCATAGAAGGTTAAGTAATTGGTGGGGAAATTGGGGTGGGGGAGGAGTTGAGTTACCTTGTCTTGGTGAACTTCAGCCCAATACACAGTGGAAAGTGCCAGATAATAAATGAAACTACAAGAGGTTAGAAAACTATACTTTCTTTTTAGATATTAAAGGCCATGAGGTCGTATGTTACTTCAAAGATTTGTTGGATCTGTTTCTGAATGGGAGGGAAATTGGTTTCAGTCACTTAAGAGAAGGGGGCATGGTGGGCCAGGAACATTATTAGTGTACTGTACTCCTGTCACCTGCTGAGGTAAGCAGGTTCTGAATAGCTCCTCTGGGGTGCAGGAAGAAAATACTAAAACTTTGAATTATCCTTATTGATCTCATCCCTTTAAAATGTCTGTTTATGCTGTTTTATGGCGTATGGAAAGGATAAGCTTGGGGAATACTGTCCTTGAGAGAGGAGGAGAAGGCAGGTAGTCGGATCAGAATGCAAATAACTGGAGATGTGGAGTAGCTCAGAATTCAGAGGTCTCGTAACTGCCCAATGGGTTCTCATTGCCTGCTGCCTAGACAGAGCCAATTTATTAAGACAGGGGAATTGCAACAGAGAAAGAGTTTAATTTACACAGAGGCAGCTGTATGGGAGACAGGAGTTTTATTATTACTCAGAGCAGTCTCCCTGAAAATTTGGGGATTGGGGTTTTTAAGGATAATTTTGTGGGTAGGGGGTCAGAAAGCGGGGAATGCTGGTTGGAAGAGTTGAAGATGAAATCACAGGAGGTTGAACTGGGTTTTCCTTGCTGTCTTCTGTTCCTGGTTAATTCTGTAAACCATTCAGGAGCAATATGGGGAGGTTCAGAATCTCGCAGCCTCTGACTGCATGACTCTTAAGCCATTATTTCTAATCTTGTAGCTAATTTGTTAGTCCTACAAAGGCAGACTGGTCCCTAGGTAAGACGGGGGTTTGTTTGGGGAAGGGCTGTTACCATCTTTGTTGCAAAGTTAAACTATAAACTAAATTTTTCCCAAAGTTAGTTCAGCCTGTGCCCAGGAATGACAAGGACATCTTGGAGGTTAGAAGCAAGATGGAGTCAGTTAGGTTAGATGTCTTTCACTGTCATAATTTTCTCACTGTTATAATTTTTGCAAAGGTGGTTTCAGTCTCCTATCTGTTCTGATAAAGAAAATGTGGTCCTCATTGGATTCTGGAGAGATAGTAGTTTCTTGTTACTGTGGAACCTTGGTAGGAAAAGGCTCCTGTTTCTGTGAAAACCTGAGGGCCCAGTGTGAGGATGTTCCAGGAGAGTGGAGTTGACAGTGTGCAAGGGATTAGCTTGCTCTGGTGATAAAGACATGATTAAAATCTATTTGATTTCAGTACTTAACTGGCAAATCTGATGCAACTTCTGGAAAATTCCTAGATGGCTTTAGGCATATTTAAAAGAAGCCATATTCTTCCTTTTAAAAATAGATATGCACCAAAATATTTTATTTTCATCTAATCCCACTTTAACGACCAGAACCCTCTTAAAAGCAATTCCAAACTAAAAAATGTAAAACCATTTCCTATGGGCATTTGTTCTTTGGTATCATCAGGGTTAATGTTTGCATCCTCTGTGCTGAAATTAAGGATGTTGGGAAAGAAGTGTCATTGCTTTGCCTACTAAATGTCTCTTGAGTATGCTTAGCTTTCATCCATAAGAGAGCCGAACTTCCCTTGTGATTATTAAAAAAAAAAAAGACAAAAACTCACTGCTGATTCTTTCATCTCTGCAAAAGCAGGTGGGAACTGCAAAGAGATTTGCTTATCTTGCTCAGTCAAGGGCTGGTAAAAGTTTGGTAAGCAGACCTGGTAGCTGGTGTCCCCTTCCACAGTTCATTTTCATCCTTCTGAATTCTTGATTCCCATAGAAGAAGCCATCCTCAGAAGCCAGCCTCTTGGGATTTTCCTTTTGTTTCTCCAAGATTAACCAGTTCTGTCCTGTCAGCAGGAGCAGGCAACTAGGGAAGGAGAGGCTCTTCAGGGCTTTCAGCATTTTTCCAAGGAGTGCTTTTCTCCCTCAATTCCTCACTGGTAGTGAAGCTGCTTTCTTGTAACGTCTTCCTCTTCTTCTGATGAGATGCTGATTCTGATTGCCATCTAGCAGCTTCCGGTGGTGGTAAGTGGTCAAGAGTGTTTTTCCGGGACTTGATCTCAGGTTTTCAAGAATACCCCCTAGAGACCCAGTCTGTGTTCTGTATCATCGCTCGAGCTTTCAGAGTAGCCTTGCTTTTCCCCTTGACATGGTCATGTTTGATCTTCCTGCACTGCTGGGAAATCTTCCTTTTGGGGGAGAGGATTAGGTCTGGGTTGAGGTGAGTAGATGGGTAGCATTCAATGGTTAGTGAGATGAAGTGGAAATTTAGCTGTGGGCTGGTTGGAACGATCTGTTTCTTTTCTCCAGATCCCTATTTTTTTTTGCTGTTTTCATCTTGGTGACTAACGTTTCACAAATATTCTTTATTATTCTCCTTTTGTGAAAAAATAAATTTGGGGGAGTTAGTTGGAAATGGGAGATAGGACATTTTCTTTTTTGTTGTTTGAAATTTCTATTTTTTATTCTGTTAGCATGCCTATTAAATGATCAATGACAGCAGCATAAATGTGCATTTCTTCTTGGTTTGTAGGTCTTGTTCACTTCCTTTGGTAGTAGTTGGTTTTATTTTTTTCATGGAGTTTGTATCCAGTGCACCTATTCAATATATTGTTTATGGTCAATTTATGCTTTAGACATGAACAGTTTGCACTGAGCTAGCCCTCTGCGGTTTGAGGGTTATGTTTTCAGTGCTAAAATTTGTCTGAACAGAAAAAGGTATCCTTCTAGTTGTTTTGTTTATAGGCAAGAGGGTGTCTCGGGTCCCTGGTTAACAATTAGCTGTTTTGAAGAAAAGAAAACTGGTGAAAAACATTAATTGGAAGCTGAAGGCTTGTTACAAAGGAAATGAGGAAATAGAGGTGTTCTTGTGGGATTACCAACACCTGTGCCCATGAAGCATTTCCCCCCCCTCCTTTTACTCAGCTGTTGCTCCATGCTGGCCTTTACTGCAAAATGTAATCTCAGAGTGATTTCAGTTTTGATTTTTTAAAATTTATTTTTTATTTTTTATGTGATATGTAATAACTGCACATATTTATGGGGTACATGTGATATTTTGGTACATGCATACGATGTGCAATGATCAAATCAGGGCAATTAGCATATATATCACCTCAAACACTTATCATTTCTTTGTGTTGGGAACATTTCAAATCTGCTAGCTATTTTGAGGTACAATAAATTAGCATTATCTATTGTCATCCTACTGTGTTATCAAATACTAGAATCTGTTCCTTCTATCTAACTATATGTTTGTACCCATTAACCAGCCTGTCTTCATCCCCTTCTTCCTCTTCCCCTTCCTAGCCTCTGGTAACCACCATTCTCCCTCTCTACCTTCATGAGATCAACTTTTTTAGCTCCCACATATGACAGAGGATATGTGATATTTGTCTTTCTGTGCCTGGCTTATTTTGCTTAACATAATATCTTCCAGTTCCATCCACATTGCTGCAAATGACAGAGTTTTATTCTTTTTCATGGCTGAATAATGTTCCATTGTATATAAATACCACATTTAAAAATTTTATTCCTCAAGAATAAACATAATTGCTTCCATATCTTGGCTATTGTGAATAGTGCTGCAATAAACAAGGGAGTGCAGATATCTCTTCAATGTACTTATTTTATTTCTTTTGGATATATTCCCAGTAGTGGGATTGCTGAATCATATGGTGGATCTATTTTCACTTTTTTTGAGAAACCACAGAGTGATTTATTTTAACCTGTATTGTGCCTGTATATTGTCTCTGCAGAAGTCTTTAAAAATGAGGGAACAAATGATTTTTTTGTATCCCTGGAGGATTTTTTTGTGGGTGGGAGAATTTTATTTTGTTCATATGTGGCATATTGAATATTTTCATTTAGTGGGAAAAAAGTTAACTCACCATCTAAAAGTAAATTGGAAATTGTAGCTCTCATTGAAATTAAACTTAATGTATGTTTGGCTGGATGCAGTGACTCACGCCTGTAATCCCAGCACTTTGGGAGGCTGAGGCAAGCGGATTACTTGAGATCAGGAGTTTGAGACTACCCTGGCCAACATGGTGAAACCCCGTCTCTACTAAAAATACAAAAATTTGCCAGGCTTGGTGGCGCATGCCTGTAATCCCAACTACTCAGGAGGCTGAGGCAGGAGAATTGTCTGAACCGTGTGGTGGAGGTTGCAGTGAGCTGAGATCAGGCCACTGCACTCCAGCCTGGGTGACAGAGCGAGACTCTGTTTCTAAAAAAAATATAAAATAAAAAAATAAATAAAAACCAAAACTTAATGTGTGTAATCTAGATTCTTGTATAGCATGAGTAGGAATTAGAAACAAGTATTTATTTTTAGAATTTCTCATGAAAAGATATTAAAAAATGGTAACCCCCTAGCAACATTATATATTTCAAATATAATAAAAATTCTTGTTAAATATTACATATTGATTGTTATGTTTTTGGAAACATGTTCCTTCCTTACTTTAAAGCTACCTTGCTTTTCTTTCTCCTTTTATTTACTCAACTGAAATTTGAGTACCTACCCAGTGCCAGGCACTGTGCTAGATGCCTGGGGGAAGAGGTCACAGAGGGAGGGCCACAGCATTTCATTTCAATGGATCCTTCTCTGACCTTTCGTTTGCAGTTGAGCGCCCTCTAGAGCTCTGTCCTTGTTCCTCATCCTGTCTTTTCCTCACCTCTCCTTGTTCTTTCTGGGTGAGGTCATTCATTCCCCTTGACTTCACTCCTTCCTTATATGTTGATGATTCCAAGTCTACAAATCTGTTTTTTTGTCTTTTGTGCTGTGAAGATGTTTTCAATGATCAAGAGGTATTTTAAGCCTACATTTTCAAACTAAATTCATTATTTTTTCATCCCAATTCCTTCTTCTGCCCCTTCACCTTCTCCTCCTTTTCCCTTCAGTGCTGTATTTATCATCATAGTGGCACCTCTATTCCCTCAGAGTCCCCAGGCAAAAACCTGGAAGTCACCCCAGATTCCTCCTTGTTCTGCATCCAAACACACAGACCATTTATTTTATTTTGAAAAGACGGGATCTCACTATGTTGCCTAGGCTGGTCTCTAACTCCTGGGCTCAAGCAATCCATCTGCCTCGGCCTTCCAGCTGGGATTACAGGCATGAGCCACCATGTCTGGCCCATACAGATCATTTATCATTTATAAACTGCATATTTAACTATGGAAACATTTCTAGAATTCAGCCCCATTTGCCAGTTGTCATTGCTCCCCCATCTCCTTTTCTGCCAGCCCATACTGTGAGATTAACCTTCCTAAAATCTCTGACAGCCTGGACTGGCACAGAAAGACAAAAAGGAACAAGGATAATGGAAAAGAGGGCTGAATTCTAATTGTGCCATTCTACTTAGATACCTCTTCTGTCTCCCTGCAACCTGCAGGAGCAACCACAGGATCTTGACCATAGCGATGCTCTGTGTCACCTTATCTATAAAATGGGGATAATGATAATTCCTGCTCATAGAGTTTTGGGGAGGACTGAATAAGACAACACACGTCAAGTGCTTAGCACAAGGCCAAGTCCCCAGTGAATGGCGGTGATGATGAGGACACTGATGAAGATGATCCTGTCTTTCAGAACCCAGCTCTTACCTTCCTTGCCAGCCCCATATCACTGCACATTCTTCCTGTGCCTGTATGATCTGCTTGCCACGACTATCACTGCTCCCCAAACCTTCCTTCCCTTTCATAACACTTGGCCTTTCCTCATGCTATTCCTTTAACTTGTCCTTACCTTATTTTGTTTAGCAAGCTCTTCCTTTCCTTTCAAAAGGACTCAACTCAGAATTGCCATCTGTGAGGTCTTCGCTGACTCTGCAAAGTCAGCGTGTGTCATTCTGACTCTGCAAAGTCAGAATGCAGAATGTGACTGCATTCCCTCTGCCTCCATAGTTCTCCATCCCTCCTTCTACCATAGCCCTACACTCATCACCCTTTTTAAAAATATTTATTTATTTATTTATTTTGAGACAGGGACTTGTGTGTCACCCAGGCTGGAGTGAAGTGGCGCAATCACAGCTCACTGCAACCTTGAGCTTCTGGGCTCAAGTGGTCCTCCCACTTTAGCCTCCCAGGCAATGGGACTGGAGGTGTGAGCCACCATGCCCGGCTAATTTTTTGTGTTTTTTGTAAAGACGGGATTTCGCCATGTTTCCCAGACTGCTCTCAAACTCCTGGACTCAAGTGAGGAGACAGGGGGCATCTGCTTACCTTGGACTCCCAAAGTGTTGGGATTACAGGTGTGAGCCACTGCGCCTGGCCTACACTCACCATTTGAATGGTCTTTTATGTGTCTGTCTGCTCTCATCTTCCCCAGACTGTGGGCTTTCGAAAGACTGGAAATGAATTTTTGCCTCCCTCGTGTCCAGTCCAGGTTAGATATAGACTAGGCACCTGATAAGTCTTTGATAATTGAATGTCAGTAGAGGGAGGAGATGGTTCTCAAATTTGGTAGGAGGTTTCCTTCACGTGGAGAGTTAAAAAAATACATTTTAAGAAAAATAAAAATAATCATTGCTTTCCCTTATTGAGTACTAACTTTGTGGCAGGAGGCGTTGAGCTAATTTCTTTATGGGAATGGATTGGTTTAGTTTTCCTAGTGATCCTATGAGTTGCTCTGAGTCCACAGAGGAGAAAACTGGAGCTTAGAAGGGAGGGGAACTTACTTGAGATTCTAGGGTTAACAGGAGCAAACTTGGGCGGCCTAACCCCAGCACTGGCGGAGCAATAGGGAAGTGAGAAGAGGAAGGAAGATGGCCAAAGCAGGGTTGAGAGAAGAGGGACAGGATGAGGACAAGGAGGGGAAAATGAGAAAGAGACCAGCAAGAGCAGGCTAGGAAAGGAAGAGAAGGAAAAGAGAAAAGGAAAATAGAATGCATTTCTATAAGTGCTTCCATTGTTCCCTGAAGTTTTGATTGAAGTAACTCAGGAAGGGAAAACCAAACATTGTATGTTCTCACTCTTAAGCGGGAGCTAAGCTATGAGGATGCAAAGGCATAAGAATGACACAGTAGACTTTATGGACTCAGGGGGAAAGGGCAGGAAGGGGGTGAGGAATAAAGGACTACAAATTGGGTGCAGTGTACACTACTTGGGTGATGGCTGCACCAAAATCTCACAGATCACCACTAAAGAACTTACTCATGTAACCAAACACTGTTTCCCAATAACCTATGGAAAAAATAATAATAATAATAAAAAAGA